TGGCACGGTACATCAAGATCGATGCTGTTATCATTGCAATTGCCCGTCGCCTTGCTTCACACTTCTATCTCCCTTCCCGGGCTTGTGGGTCGATCATGTAGTGTGGAAATTTGCTCCCAGTGCCAAGTTCGAAGAGGGCTGGCGGATTCTTTCCTGGATAAATAACGAATTCGCAAAGGGCCGGCGGACTCAAATTTGAGAATGTCTCAGGCGAAACGCTTGTTTTTGAAATCTCGAACGATAAATCACAGGGTGCGGGACCCTTTCTGGTCCCAGAAGTATCAGAAGTGCATTCCGTGCGTGCCCGCTCGAGGAAGGTGCACCCATGGGGATATCTAACATGAGGTCTCAGGTTTTTTCGCGCGTAAAAAATGCATGTGCGAAGGGGGTATCTAATATGCGTCTGGCGCTTGTGCACTTGCCCGCTCAGGGGGTATCTAACATGGTTGTCCCGAGCTGGGACCACGTGCTTTTACATGTTCAGCACGCCCAGGGGGGTATCTTGCATGGTTGTCCCGAGCTGTTGTTTTCAAAAACTGCGTTTCGCGCGTGCTCGCTCGAGAAAACTGCGCCCCCTATTTTGGATCATTTATAAATAGCAGGGTCCGCAGACACCCGTTTCCCTTTCTAAAAAAGGGGCGCGGAGCTTTTCGTGCAGAAGCCATTATGAAAACGCAAGGTATGGAGACCCTACCCAGAATATTGAGCAATTGATGTTTTGCGTGCCCGCTCGAGGATGGCGCGTCCCGCGCGCAGGAATTTCGAGGAGCGGAATTATCTCCGATACATAACTAGGTAAAGGCTGACTTCTTTTGGATGAAATTCGTTTCGCGCGTGCCCGCTCGAGGAAAATGTACCCCCGACCTCGGATCCTCTATAATTGACGGGTCCGCAGACACCCGTATTCCGTTGTAAAAATTGTGTGCGAAGCGGTTTGCGTTAAATCCGCGATAAGACACGAGGTTTGAAGACCGCAGAAGTTTACAAAACATATGGAACAGTTATGTTGTTGCTTGCCCGCTCGAGGATGGCGCGTTCCGCGCCCAGGAATTTCGAGGATGTCTCGAGCCCGGCGCTTATTTTTCAGAAGGAAGGTTTGCTCTTTGCGTGTCCGCTCGAGGATAGCGTACCCTGCGTGCCGAAGTTCTGCGGATGCCTCTGGCGAAATGCTTCTTTTGCAGCGATCCTGGCCCTGGGAGCGCGGACGCCGCATACTTGACGAGAAGCCTTGGCCCTGGAGTCGCGAACCCAGCGTAATTCACGAGGGATCGTGGCCAAGGGAGCGCGGGCACTGCGCAATTCACGAGGGGGCGCGGCCCTGGGAGCGCGGACGCAGCGCGGTCTACGAGGGATCGCGGTGCAGGGAGAGCGGACGCAACACCATTTACAAGGGATCGTGGCCGGGGCTGGCGCGGGGTCCCCCAAAAAGAGCTCTCCCTGGGTGGGGATGTCAGGCCAGGAGGGGGGCGTTGGTAGGTTCTGGGCGAAAAATTGTGGGGTTGGGGGTCCCAAAAACAGAGCTCTGCCGGGGTGGGGATGTCAAGCCAGGAGGGGGGCGGTGATAGGTTCTCGGCGAGAAATTGCCAGGTGGGGGCCCCCAAAAACAGAGCTCTCCCGGGGTGGGGATGTCAGGCCAGGGAGAAATTGTGGGGTGGGGGGTCCCAAGAACAGAGGTCTCCCAGGGTGAGGACGTCAGGCCAGGAGGGGGGCGTTGGTAGGTTCTGGGCGAGAAATTGTGGGGTGGGGGGTCCCAAGAACACAGCTCTCCCGGGGTGGGGATGTCAGGCCAGGAGAGGGGCGTTGGTAGGTTCTGGGCGAGAAATTGTGGAGTGGGGGGTCCCAAGAACAGAGCTCGTCCGGGGTGGGGATGTCAGGCCAGGCGGGGGGCGTTGGTAGGTTCTGTGCGAGAAATTGCGGGGTGGTTGGTCCCAAGAACAGAGCTCTCCCGGGGTGGGGATGTCAAGCCAGGAGGGGGGCGCTGGTAGGTTCTGGGCCATAAATTGTAGGGTGGGGGGTCCCAAGAACAGAGCTCTCCCGGGGTGGTGATGTCAGGCCAGGAAGGAAGGCGTTGGTAGGTTCTGGGCAAGAAATTGCGGGGTGGGGGGTCCCAAAAAAGAGCTCTCCCGGGGTGGGGATGTCAGGCCAGGAGGTGGGCGATGGTAGAATCTGTGGGAGAAATTGCGAGGTGGGGGGTCCCAAAAACAGAGCTCTCCCTGGGTGGGGATGTCAGGCCAGGAGGAGGGCGTTGGTAAGTTCTGGGCGAGAAATTGTTGGGTGGGGGGTCCCCAAAACAGAGCTCTCCCAGGGTGGGGATGTCAGGCCAGGAGGGGGCGTTGGTAAGTTTCTGGGCGAGATTTGTGGGGTTGGGGGGTCCCAGGGACAGAGCTCTCCCGGGGTGGGGATGTCAGGCCAGGAGGGGGGCGTGTTGGTAGGTTCTGGGCGAGAAATGGTGGGGTGGGTGTCCCAAAAACAGAGCTCTCCCGGGGTGGGCTGTCAGGCCAGGCGGGGGGCGTTGGTAGAATCTGGTGGAGAAATTGCGAGGTGGGGGGTCCCACAAACAAAGCTCTCCCGGGGTAGGGATGTCAGGCCAGGAGGGGGGCGTTGGTAGGTTCTGGGCGAGAAATTGTGGGGTGGGGGGTCCCAAGAACAGAGCTCTCCCGGGGTGGAGATGTCAGGCCAGGAGGGGGGCGTTGGTAGGTTCTGGGCGAGAAATTGCGGGGTGGGGGGTCCCAAGAACAGAGCTCTCCCGGGGTGGGGATGTCAGGCCAGGAGGGGGGCGTTGGTAGGTTCTGGGCGAGAAATTATGGGGTGGGGGGTCCCAAGAACAGAGCTCTCCCGGGGTGGGGATGTCAGGCCAGGAGGGGGGCGTTGGTAGGTTCTGGGCGAGAAATTGTGGGGTGGGGGTTTTTTAAACAGAGCTCTTCCGGGGTGGGGATGTCAGGCCAGGAGGGGGGCGTTGGTAAGTTCTGGGCGAGAAATTGTAGGGTGGGGGGTCTCAAAAACAGAGCTCCGCCAGGGTGAACATGTCAGGCCAGGAGGGGGGCGTTGGTAGGTTCTGGGCGAGAAATTGTGGGGTGGGGGGTCCCAGAACAGAGCTCTCCCGGGGTGGGGATGTCAGGCCAGGAGGGGGCGTTGGTAGGTTCTGGGCGAGAAATTGTGGGGTGGGGGGTCTCAAGAACAGAGCTCTCCCGGGGTGGGGATGTCAGGCCAGGAGGGGGGCGTTGGTAGGTTCTGGGCGAGAAATTGTGGGGTGAAGGGTCCCAAGAACAGAGCTCTCCCGGGGTGGGGATGTCAGGCCAGGGGGGGGTGTTGGTAGGTTCTGGGCGAGAAATTGTGGGGTGGGGAGTTCCAAGAACAGAGCTCTCCCGGGGTGGGGATGTCAGGCCAGGAGGGCCCAGAGGTCCCTCGCGTCCAAAATTTGGACGTGAGTTCTATCATGTTGCTCAAGTCCATTTTTTGGACTTAATCAGGGTTCATTGCGCTTTGCAGCGATATGAAGTGATATCATACATATATATATAGAAAAATACACAATCAAATCACACGACGCCCATAGTTGTTCACATTTTCATGTCACACGCACACAACTTACTTCACACACACAGACACACACGTTCGCACACACACACACACACAAACACACACACAAACACACACACACACGCGTTGAACGCCTTTGCTGAAGGGTTACAGCAGATCTTGCATTTGCCATCACCGTTGGGTCGGTAGATCTTGAGTTGCGACTGTCTGTTCTGGAACATTCCTCTGAGAAGCTGTGTTGGATTATTTCGAGGAGCATCGGCTCCACTTCTTATGCGTCCGAATGGTTCGTCGAATCGTGCTTGGCCTACCCATAGCCATTTGGAGCAGGTTCGGGCGCTTGATTTCCCAATCCAATTCCGCCGCGTTCAATTTTCAACCCCAGCCCCGAATGACACCCCTTAGCCCGCCTGTGGTGCGTTTCGGATGCCGAAATCTTCCAGGACACGATGTTTGCAGAATTGCTTGATGCATTCCTCTTGCGATTGGGCGGGTTGGGGGGGTCACCGGGGCAGGGATTGAGAGTTCTCGCGGTACGTACTTGTTCAGACTATGAGCAGCGATAAGGCTGATGATGATGTGGGCGGCGGGGACCCCAAGGCGTTGGCAGCAATTCTACTTCCATTTGCGCACAGTCCTGGCTTTATACAATACGGGGATGGAAAAAAAAAAAAAAAAAAAAAAAAAAAAAAAAAAAAAAAAAAAAAAAAAAAAAAAAAAAAAAAAAAAAAAAAAAAAAAAAAAAAAAAAAACACCTGTGGACGTCGATTCTTTGATGAAGTACACCAGTCTGATAGCTGCAGCAGCGAAGTACTCGCCCGACTTGCCGTCGGCGCGCATCTCACAGACATTGGCACAAGAAGCTTCCATTGAAGTCTACAGGGTCAAGGTTTTCGACGTAGATGAGGTTACCACGAATGAGACTGCCGCGCCCACCTTAGCGAGAAGGCTTCGTACGATATTGTGTCACTACAAACGAGCAGCAGCAGCGACCAAACCCCCGAAGTGGGCCGACGAGATCTCCAAAGCAATGGGCATCACCAGAGAACGGCCAGCTGCATCAGAGGGGACTTCGACAACAATGACACCGTCCAAAAAACCAGCGAAGAAGCACAACGGCAAGGAGGCAGCTGAGGATCATGGAGGCAAAGAGGAGGACCAAGCACAAGAAGACGAAGGAGAGGAGGAAGAGGAGGAAGGGAAGGAAGAGGAAGCAGGCGAAGAAAACAACGAGGAGGAAGAGGAGGAGGAAGAGGAGGAGGAAGAGGAGGAAGAGGAGGAGGAAGCTGAGGAGGCCGACCAGGAACAAGACGAGGAGGAACCAAATGCGGGGGATGACGGCGCTGGTGATCACGTGTCACGTGATTGGGCAATCAACCGACTAAGACATAACACCTCCCCTTCTCGTCCTTCTCATTGTCACCCCAGGCCCCGCTTATGCGATTGGTTTCCCAGTCGAGGCACGCCAGCTGCGACTGCTACCTTGAAGAGGCCAACGGCGGTCGCACCGGCGGTCTCAACAGCTTCGAGGTTTTCGGATCTCGGCATGCCGTCTACATTTCGCAGTGATCTGTGGGCGCAGGCACTCGGTGGCGGCCAGTCGAGCCACAGTCCCACCGTCAAGACTGGCTACGACAAAGTCCGAGGTGCTTGGGTCCAGGTTCTCGGACAACCGAAGCAGTTCACCAACGATATACATTCAGACGGGGACGGAAATCTTGTTGGAGTCTTTGGCGAGGCCGAGGTCGTCATCGACAATTTCACGATGGCCAAAGTCGAGAGCCTCAAGAAGAAGAAGGATCTCTTCGCCAAACAACGTCCAGCTGCTGCGGGCAACTCCAGGGGAAAACTATTATGTGGCCAGTGGGGGTCCAATGAAGTGACGGTGAGAATCACAACAGAACGGATCAACGGCGTCAACAAGACTGGCAAGTTGGCGCGCATCTACGTGGACGGCAGCACGAAGGCATCTGTACCGCTTAGGACTGAGGAACTGGCCAAGCAGTGCACTGACTTAGCTATCGCGATGGCTCGTAAGCTGTGTGCTGGTAAGTTTCAGGATACGGATGAGCTCAAGGCTGCAACTAAGGCGGCCTCTTTGAAACTGTTTTGAGTGTGTTGCATGTTGCAAGTGTGAACGCGATATGCGAGATATGATCTCTTGCACGCATCACGCCTTTAGGAATGCATCGATGCCCGATTGCCCGTCAGCGCCCCCACTACTGGAACCACCCCTAATCTGACATATCCACACATGTAAACATCAGTGTTTATCGGGGAGGGGGCTTCCATAGAAGTGGTGTTTTGTTTGAGCGATTCGCACTGCATGTAATTACTGCTTGCCAGCGTTTGGACGTTCCAGTTCGCATCGTGCGTGCGGCGGCTGTGACGAAGGTCGAAACGGAACTCATGTATCCTCTCGATCCCCTCCGCCCTTTCATCCACCCCAGTTGTTCTCATCAGCACCTCCTACTCCTCCTCCTCCTCCTGCTCAGCCCTCCTCTTCCACCTCCCCAGGCCCCCGCGAAGGTCACGACGGGTTCTGCGAGCGATGAGGTAGATAGTACACGAGTAGTTCAGCCCGCAGCTCGCTCAGAAGACCCGCTCAGGTAGGACACTACCAGGTAGGAGCACTATTCAAACGATATATAGTAGCTGGTTCCCTCCGGAGTTTCCCCCAGGATAGGTGGAGTTGAACAGTTTGTGTTGCATGCTTGTTGCTCACGTGCTTCTGCTTCAGCCGCAGCCGTCTCAGGTTTCGCAGGCATCGGATTCGGTCGACCACCCATCCATTGCACCTGGCTTGAACCCGCATGGACACGTGGGCCCCCTTCAGAGGCCAGGCATTCCGACTGGGCCCTGATGGGCCGAAGTACGTGATCGAAGTGGACGCGCACGACGAGCCAGCAACCCAGACCCAGATAGACACAGCCCCACAGTTTCAGCCTGGAGTTACCGCTGCGCCCCCTCGTGCAGACGACGCTCCGCCGCTTGCACAGAGTCAGGCTCCACCTCTTGGACAGGAGCTGTGGCCATGAAAGAGTATACCGACACTCTCGCCCTTTCCTAGTCGTCCTCCCCCCTGGCCCCTCTCTGCATCCTCCGCTCCGCTCCTCCGCTCCGCTCCTCCGCTCCGTTCTGCATCCTGCCATCATCGAACCTCCCCCTCCCCCTCATCCTCCTCCACCACCTCCTCATCATCCCCCCCTCGTCCGCTCCTTCACGCTCGAGACCCTTCCTTCTCATCCTCTTCTTCCTCCTCCTCCTCCTCCTCCTCCTTCTCCCCCTCCTCCTCCTCTGGGCCCTGGGGTAATGAGAGCGATAGTCGCCCCCCCCCCTCCCCAGGACGCTGCGCCTGCCCCCGCGATCGGCGCGCAGGACGAGGCGACGCTACCTGATGCCTTGCCGCGCCCGACCTTCAGCGAGGCGACGCTACCTGATGCCTTGCCGCCCCCGACCTTCAGCGATGCGACGCTACCTGATGCCTTGCCGCCTCCGACCGCCAGCCAGCTGCAGAGTATGGTCGATGCCGCTGCTCTTGCTGTTCACGGCGCAGGCTCGCAGCCGCCGAGCGCGGTGGCGTCCGAGGAGCAGGCGACTCAGCCCGCTGGCCCCCCCATCGCCAACGGCGACAGCGGCGACACCCTCGACCAGCAGCATGAGACACCAGCCATGGACATGGAGCTTGAGGAGTCGCTCGGCTCGCTGGAGAGCCTGAGCACTGAGATCTGCAGGGAGGCGGCGGAGGCGACCAAGGCGACGCAGGCGATCTCGAAGCTCATCCAGGGGTTGGAGGCATCGATCAAGAACGGGGCCCCAGCACGGACGCCAGAGTATTCTCAGTTCTGCAGAGCCCTCGACGAAGATGAAGACCTGCAGATTCGATACTCCGCATGCCAAGGCCGGACCTCGAAAGCAGCTTTTAGGGAGGACTGGGCCAAGAAGAAAGTTCAGGTGCTCAACGAAAAAGTATCCCAGAAACAAGTGTCCTCGGAAATCGACTGGCAGCGCACGCACATGCGGAGCTTGGCTCAGATTGCCGACAAGGAGAAGGACCAGCAGGTGGCGCTCAACATCGCCAAGACGTGCGTGAAGTTAGGGCCCCCCTTCATCAAGTGGGACCCCTCGGGCAAGGTGTGGAGGTTCGCCCACGCCGAGGAAGGCTTCACCGAGAAGCTGGAGAAGGCCTGGCAGGTCAAGCAGGACCTCGAGTCCGACGGCTCGCCGATGAAGCCCGCGGGCGGCGGCGGCGGGGGGGAAGGGCCGCCCCCGAAGAAGCCCCGCAAGGACAAGGGGAAGAGCAAGGACGCGACCAGTGCACCTGAGCCGCCAATCGAGAACTCAAATCCCGAGGACGTGAGCAAGGTGCAGCTTCAACAGGCCGACAAGGACTGCAAGGATATCCTCGACATGTACCGCACTGCCACGTCGAAAGCATCCTCCATCATTGAAGTGGTTAACAAGAATGACGAGGAGTGGAAGTGGCTCCAGAAGGATAGCCCCTTGGCGACCAACTTGCAGAAGAGCTACGACACGAGCAAGACCTCTGCACCTGGCATCCTTAAGAGCCTCCTCTTCGGCAAGACCATTGCGAAGGTCAAGAAGGACCTGGGCAAGAAGCAGTACGTTGCCGAGGCCACTTCCATGCGCACTACCATGAGCCCGCTGCTCCAGAAGCTGGCCACGGAGGCCGACGGGCTGAACACGATGCACGCGAACAGGCCGAGAGACTGAGTTGACGAGCGGACGCAGCTCGCTCGAGGTTTTAAGGCTAGCGCACCTCCGCACGACAGATTCCCTTCAGGATTTCAGATTTTTCACGAAAGCCTCCGAAAACCTACCGGTGAGTTTCGCGATGAGTTTCGGAAACTCACCGCGGTGAGTTTCGGGAAACTCATCGGTGAGTTCGGGGGGGGAGACAGCCATTCCTCGATGCATTCGCAAACACCAGCGGTGAGTTTCACCCGATGAGTTTGGCAGGACCCCGAAACTCACCGATGAGTCTACCGGTGAATCTCGATGAGTTTCGGAGATGCTTTTTCCGAATGCGATTTTCCCCCCCCAAAAAAAAAACCTTGGAAATCAGCGGAGGTGCGCGCGAATCTTCAGCAAGCTGGCATGTGGGTGGAGCTCGATCGTGCGAGCTCCGATGCTTCGGGGCAGCTTGCCATTCAGACGAACGCATGGAGTCAGAATTCCTGGCAGTCCCCCGTTTCCTCCTCCTCCTCATCATCATTTTCCTCCTCCTCCTCCTCCTCCACCTGTTGCCCTCATGAAGGGTCTTGCCCGCGCCATCCGCCTCCTCCACCTGTTGCCCTCATGAGGGGTCTTGCGATCCAAGTCCAAACTTGGCGTCAGCGAAATACGAGTTACGCGTCAAACATAAACCCCCTGTTCCTGCCCCCTACTCTTCTTACTTGTGCTCCTACTCCTGTGCTTGGAACCAGGGTCAGGATCAATTGCGTCCTGGCTTCGTGCCGCAGGCGTGCCACGGCATGAGCCCGTTGCGAAGCTCCGCTCCCTGTCGAAGGCTAAATGCGACTGTTGATTTGCAACATGCCAGTGTCTGTTGCCCCGCACACACACACGCGCACACGCACCCACGCACGCGCGCACGCACGCACGCACGCACACACACACACACACACACGCACGCACGCACGCACACAAGCACACACACACACGCACACACACACACACGCACACACACAAACACGCACACGCACACACACACACAAACACACACACACACACGCCCACACACACACCAACGCAAGCGGCGTTTTTCTCCAACTTAGAAGGGCTTAGGGTATACATCATGCATCTCGTCCTTGACCTAAGGACTCAATGTGATAGGCACGTCGTGGACAAGTCCAGCTTCAGGGATGAGAAGGACAGAACATGAGGATAATGTAGAGGAGGAGACTTCTGAGAGATGCTCAGTTGTTTTGCTGTCGGAGTCTGAAGAGTGAGAGGAGGGAGGAGGGAGGAGGGATAGGGAGGAGGGAGGGAGAGGGAGGGAGGAAGGGATGGAGGGAGGGAAGGTGGAGGAGGAGGAGGAGGAGGAGGAGGATCAGGATCACGATGAGGAGGATGAGGAGGATGAGGAGGAGGAGGAAGAGGATGAGAATGAGGAGGATCAAGAAAGGTAAAAGATAGGCGGCACCCCCCCCTCCCAAGGCTGTCTCGCGTGTACGTTCTGATGCCCTTGACCCCAGGCCACGAAGTCCCAGGGCCTTTAGCTTGGTTCAAAGACCCTGGCCAACTGCTGAGGCGAAGGACCCAGAACCCGAGGACGTCCACTATCGTGGCCCCGCCCTCCACGCAACCACCGCCTCGCGCTCGTCTCGTAAGCCTTCGCCTCGAAAACACGTTGTCATGGAAGCGTCCTCATCTCGTCCGTCTCGGTACCGCCCTCGTAACTTCGATATCGTGTTCGTCCGTGCTCCTCCCCCTGATGCGTCCGTCCTCATCCCTCCGTGTAGCCCATTTTGGTTCAGTGCGATAATGAAGCGATCACACGACGATTGGGACGTACCACGCATTAGTTCGACAGTTTGGGATACCAGTGATGCGGATGGCGGCCCGATCGAGCCACCAGTGTCACACGGTCAGATGCTCGTGGATGACTTGATTGAATATTATCTTGCTGGTGATCTCAGCGCGAAGAAAGTGTGCACGCTCTGTTGGCACGCATCTCATGCAGGAATTCGGGAGGCCAGGCCGTGCGAGCTGTCGCCAAACAGCTCGAGCGGTCACTTCCAACGCAAGTTGGACAAAGCATTGGGTTTTGAGAAATACGACTCGTCATTGTATTATCTTGAAGCTCCTCTTCTTGTGCGGAGCAGTGCTTGTGTCGAGAGCGCGCGGGTAGTTGTCAATCCCCCACACGAGCGTCTGGTCGACGAGTTGGCAGAACATCCAGAGATCTTGAGATCATGGGCCGATGAAATTAGCAAGCAAAGGTGGGTTGAATGCTACGAGCGCCATCCTCTAGTGGTCGAATCCCCCGCTGCAGACAGGGCCCACATTATTCCGATATGTATATACCTTGACGCGTCAGAGTTCCAAAAGAGA